CGGGACGCTGTGTTCCCGTGAATGGTAAAGACATACATATAATAATAATAATAAGCGCGCAGGGCACCTTGAGGCGAGGTGACGGGCATTAGCGATCCCGCGGGCTACCATCATGCCGAGTGCTCCAGGGAGAAGTCACCGTTCCTTCTTCTCCGGCTTGCCTTAATTGGCTGGCTAGAGTGAACGATGACAAGGTATAGGTCTCCCACCTTTGGCTTGCCTTCATTGGCCGTCCAGAGTGGAGTCGCGAGAGCAGTGATCCTGCTCGGAGGGTAAGAAACTATTCGTAAGTCGCGAGTGGGCCAGGGAGGCAGTAGGCTTCGGCTGGAGCAGATGATCTGAGTAGAAAGCGGTGGTAGTTTCTTAACCCTTCAGCCACTCACATTCTCGTTGCCCCTCTGTTGCTATATCTAGCCTCCATTCCCGGGGCCCGGTCGGTGAGTTGGTAAGTATCCGCCTGCCATATTTACGTGTAGTAATTACATTGTTTCGGCAGGTGCCATAGTCATCCATAGTTCCCAATTTACCAGTCCACAGCAACCCATCCATAGCCCTACCTTTTTATTTCCATTATCCACAATAGTTCTACACTAACCGGGGACTGCCCTTGGGTGCATTTTCATAGTGCATACAGGGATAGTCGCCGGTTTGTGTCTCCATTACAGTTAGATTAATGTTGTCTAAAGGGCCTCTGCGCAGTTGGCTTCGGCCCCTCGTACGCCTCCCAAATGACCGGGACCCTGTGGTCCCGTGAATGAGACATACAATAATAATAATAATAAGCCCGCAGGGCACCTTGAGGCGAGGTGACGGGCATTAGCGATCCCGCGGGCTACCATCATCCCGAGAGCTCCAGGGAGAGGTCACCGTTCCTTCTTCTCCGGCTTGCCTTAATTGGCTGGCTGGAGTGAACGATGACAAGGAACAGGTCTCCCACCTCTGGCTTGCCTTCATTGGCCGTCCAGAGTGGAGTCGCGAGAGCAGTGAACCTGCTCGGAGGGTAAGAAACTATTCGTAAGTCGCGAGTGGGCCAGGGATGCAGGAGGCTTCGGCTGGAGCAGATGATCTGAGTAGAAAGCGGTGGTAGTTTCTTAACCCTTCAGCCACTCACATTCTCGTTGCCCCTCTGTTGCTATATCTAGCAACCATTTCCGGGGCCCGGTCGGTGAGTTGGCGAGTCTCCGCCTGCCATTTTTACGTGTAAAAATTACATTGTTTCGGCAGGTGCCATAGTCATCCATAGTTCCCAATTTACCAGTCCACAGCAACCCATCCATAGCCCTACCTTTTTTTTCCATTATTCACAATAGTCCTACACTAACCGGGGACTGTCCTTGGGTGCATTTCCATAGTGCATACAGGGATAGTCGCCGGTTTGTGTATCCATTACATTTATATTAAAGTTGTTTAAAGGGCCTCTGCGCAGTTGGCTTCGGCCCCTCGTACGCCTCCCAAATGACCGGGACCCTGTGGTCCCGTGAATGGTAAAGACATACATAATAATAATAACCTCATGATGGTGCAGAGAACATAGAGCTCTCTGGCCGTGATTACTCGATATTCTTTATACAGTTCGTTAGTAGGATACCTAAAAGGCTTCGAGGCCATTACTCTGAGAACAGCCCTCTGTGCCCTCTCGAGATCCAAGACTGCGACTTTGCCCGCACCACCTAAACAATTTGTGCGCAAAAAGGAAAATCCACATAGAGCTCCACTTGTGGTATCAATCTCTACCAAATAACAAAGATATCGTTGACACAATAATGGAGCCAGATATTACAGAGGCGGGAGAAGAAGTAGTGGACCTATAAATACTCTTTTTGAAAGTAATTCTTGAAATGAATTCTTTTTTTTTATAATATTTTTGTACAGTTTTGTTTTCCTTTCTGCGAGCGCAATGTTGTTTCGCTTATTTTTTGTTTTTCTTATTTTTTTGCATTAATTTCTTTAATAAAATTTAATTAAACTTATTACAATTGTTTAATTACATCATCAATGTCATATTTAAAACAAAACTTACCACACAAGCTTCTAAAATTTAGATAGGTAGTATTTACAATACACATTTGGTGCTTGTAACAATTAGTTCCAGTTTACTTAACTACGGTTATTTCTATTGATAATGAGTTGAAACTAAGTGAAAAATCACTAACTCCGGTCGACAATTAACTAAATCAACACTAGACAGAGATCGTTTAAAGAATAATTAACTAGTTTGATATTTTTAATTTTTCTTAATGACAAAAACATTTTCTTGCATTATAGCTTTTATAATATTAACTTTACTCTTTTTCCTTCAAATAGAAACTAAAAACATGACGATCGGCAATGGCTAGCTAAAGTTATAACGAATCAAATTTTTTAAAACTTTAAACTTCATTTTCTCAAAACATGATTTTTCGACTTGATGACTTTTCGCTCTACGGGGACGATATAGTATAGATATAATAATATATATTTCTATCTATAGTAATACTGCCTCGTTGGCCGGGTGGTCGCAAGTGCGACTGCCGGGCAAGGGGTCTCGGGTTCGATTCCCGGGTCGGGCAAAGCACTACTGGGTTTTAAAAAAAAACTCTCAGTAGTAGCATTGTAGTAGCCTAAAATTGTGCCCGGCATATGACAATAGACTTACCCCCTATTACATGGGACTCATAACATAAATAGTGAAAAGTGGGTGTTACATTGTACAGTGGCATAATGTGCACCTCTGCCTACCCCTTCGGAGATAAAAGGTGTGATGTTATGTTATCTATAGTAATAATATAAAATAAAATATAATAATAATAATGTATAGTATAGATCAATTGATAAATATTTAATATTTGATAAAGATTTGATAAATAGATTCTATAGTATAGATTACAAAACATCACGCTACGATCAGAAGGAACCGAGCAGCGAGTGAAAACGCGCCGGAGTCGCTAGTAAACTGTCTCACTAATATTATAAATACTGAAGTCTGTCTGTATGTCTGTTTCTCAATTACATAAAAACAGTTGAATTCGCAACAGAAGTAGTGTATAGCGTGGAGTAGCACATAGGCTAGTTTATATTGGACGGGCGCGCGCTGGCTGACGTCGGTATTACCTGGAAGTCGGACAGCATGGAGGCGTCGATGCATTCTCTCTGATGCGGAACTAGAGTCAGAGTATGGAACCCTAGGACGCCGCGGCCATCGAAGTCCCCTTGTAATCCTGCAGCCTGGGACAATATCACCATTTTCATTTATCATGTCATAGTATCAGATCAAATCAAATCAAATCAAATCAAATCAAATCAAATGTCTTTATTTGCTGAACAGAGGTGTAGTACATAATTAGTGCCTAAGGTGTTATTTATTTTTGTTACATATTGTATCTCTTTGTTCTACCCGTTGGGCATGCAAATATTGCGTATATCTCAACCATTGTACGTATTAATGAAATTCACAATCAGTCAATATATGTAGGTACGAGTCAAAAATATCTTTTCACATTCATAGAGCAATCAAATAATTAGTCATAGAAATTATACATCAATAATAAACAAAAAAAATACAGAAAATAATAGTATGTAAATCAATTAGTCATAAATTAGTTAAATTTAAATGTCAAAGTCAATCAAATTGTAATAACAAATTTGTAAGGTTTTCACAAAAAGTATCTGATGTCATTATAGTAGGTACAATACGTAATTCACACCGTCAATTTACTCCACTACATAAATTATCAATGTTCATTTGTTATATCTATATTTAGTTTTTCATGTGCAGTCTATTCTAGCATAATTACATTTAAATTATTTCATATTGTTTAGGCCAGCGAAGATATTTCATATTGTTATTCTAACTATTGACATTAATTATTGAGTGGGTATGTTTGATCTCATTAGATGTGATTACTTGACTATTTGATATCTAATTTTGGAACTTTTAATTACCTTTAGGATTATTTACAAAGATTATTTCATTTAATTTCTAATTTTAAATGGACCTTATTTTAAGAATTGTTCAACCAAAATTTTAAATGTTTAATAATTTTTTATTTGACTTGTTTTATATTGTTATGTTATGATTTGGATTTTTTGATATTGTATTTTCTTGACATTTCTGCAATTTACTTTAATCTAATTACATTCAATTGCTATAAATGTTTGTATGGGCATGATGTGATTCCCTGTAATTGAAGGATCACAAAGTTATTGTAACTTCAGGTGGATTTTTTTGCATGTATGTGTATCTTTTGTTGGGAGTCCAAATAAATAAAAAAATAATAATAATAAAAAAATAATATAATTTAATTTATAGATTTTTATTAAATGAATGTCAAGTAGAATATTGCAACTATACTTTTTAAAGGGGGAAACTCATCCACTGATTTTATAATACAACCGAAACTGAGCTTGAAAAACAAAACAAAATGTTGTGGATACCACGGCGTCACACAACTCCGGCGTGAAACAACGCTTGCATTGTATTCCTCCCAAAAGGCCAGCACCATAATACTATTACTTAAGTATAGAGATTGTTATTTTTAAGGGGGGAAAATCATCGAATGACTGCTCCCGCCTGGGTGAGGGGGGAGGGAGTGTCAGACTCTTACTGACTAACCCCCCCCCCCGTTCCTACTCCTGCACGTCGAGCCGGAGCCCCGGTAACACGTTAAGTCCTCCGCGACTCTGTATCGACATCAGCCATATTGGCGTCTAAATAATCTAAAGCATAAGTTTGAAATCGCCAACCTGCATTGAGCAAGCGTGGTGATTAATGCTCAAATTCGACTGCACGGTTAGTGCGGTGGCTGGGCAACCGGCAGCCGGGCAGCGTGGCGCGGGTTCGATTCCCGCATGGAACAACACTTTGTGTGCTCCACGAATTGTTGTTTCGAGTCTGTGTGTCATTTGTATGTGAATGTTTATGTTTGTAAATGCACCTTCTCCGCGTGAGAAGATGTGTTTAGTGAGCAGTGGCCACGTATAGGCTGTCGATGACCATGACGTGTCTGTATATTGGTGCTTACCCTCGGATGTTCAGTCTCCTTCGTGACGTTGATGGTCTCAACTAGATCTTCGTGTCGAATGCCAAACGAACCGACTTTGTAGTAGCCAGGCTCTGTAACATACACGTATGGGAGGTAAGCAGAAATATAAATAAAATGATTCTTTTATAAACTATATTTTAAAAAACTGCCTCATTGGCCGAGTGGTCGCAAGTGCGACTGCCGGGCAAGGGGTCTCGAGTTCGATTCTCGGGTCGGGCAAAGTATTACTGGGTTTGTAAAAACCTTAGTAGTAGCACGGAGCCTGGAAATGTGCTCGGTATATGGGAATAGGCTCACCCCCTATTACATGGGACTCATAACATAAATTGTGAAAAGTGGGTGTTACATTGTACAGTGGCATTAAGTGCCGTAATGTGCACCTCTGCCTACCCCTTCGGGGATAAAAGGCGTGATGTTATGTTGTTATTTAAAAAAACCGAATTCAACGCCCTCTGTTTTTGAAGTCGGTTGATTAATGCACTAGAACTAAACATTTTTCTGAAAATCGCATCAAAATGTGTCCAGCCAATTGCGAGATACTCGCGCCCCAACAAACATACAGACAGGTGTTGACCTGTGACTGAGAGGCTTCTTTTTGGAGTCGGTTAAATATAATAGGGCCGCAGAGTCGAGCAGCCTCTAGCATGGCTTGAATGAAACAGTTCCGTGAGCATACAACTCACCATTGCTGAGCACCTGTCCGGGTTTGAGGCCGGGGTCGTGCGGGTAGGGCCTCCAGGAGACCCCGCAGGGCCCCTCGTGCACGTTGAGGAAGTGTCCGACGCCGTGTCCGGTGCCGTGCGCGTAGTCCAGGCCGGCCTCCCACAGCGCGTGCCGCCCGAAACTGTCCAGGACGTTGCCCTGTACACACAATATCTCATGACTTCTCCCGCCTGGGTGAGGCGGGAGGGAGTGTCAGACTCTTACTGACTAAACACCACCCCGTTCCTACTCCTGCACGTCGAGCCGGAGCCCCGGTAACCCGTTAAGTTCTCCGCGGCCCCGTAACAGCATCAGCCCTATGGGGCCCTATCCGGCTCGGCGCCGTACGCTCGGGTCTGTTTCTGGTCGGACGGGGAGCCACCCATGCTCGCCGTCCTCCGGCCCGCGCTTACGGTGGCCGGAGATCGTCCCGCGATCCCCGACGCCCACATTAATTCTCCACGGACTCTTGGTCTGTACCCTTGTCATATATTTTTTTATTACTCAATATTTATAAAGTAAAGTAGGCACCTAGTTACAAACAACAGTTACACACGACATCTATAAAAATTACTAAGCTTACAATAGTCCTAGTTTAGGGAACAGAGAGTATTGTTCCCTAAGATAGGAAAAGGAGGATCCTCCGACCAGGCGAGGTGATCGTGCCTGGCGGGCTTTCTGCCCAACAGTTGTTCGTTGGGATTTTCTATCCGTAACTTTGCATGTGCGATGTAGGATTCTTGTGACGTCATCCGTTGACATGTGGCATGCGTCGCCACACTAGTAATAGATAGGAAATTGACTTTAACCCCCTCTGTTAACGAAGTCGGTTAACCCCTCAAGCGTCCTTATGAGCACCCGGTGGATCATAAGAAAAAATGCTCCATGCTGCTTTCTCTTTTATAAAATCTATTATTAATGTCTATGATCCTTGTTTTCGTGTGCCAATGGCCAAATAAATCCATTTTCTTTCTTTCTTTGTCTCTTTCTTTCTCCAAATGTTACGTGTGCACCCGTTGGATCATAAGGAACGCGGTCGCCCGACGGGTTAAAAGGATAGTTTCTTAAATTTTATTTTAATGTCTGTCTGATAGATTAATTTAAAACATTAGACATGTATTTTTCTTTTCCTACGGAATTAAATGTTGTCGACGATATATTAATTTGGAATATCGTGTGATTGAAATATCGCTACATTTTGTAGCACTTTGTGTCAACTACTTTATTAACCAGTCGTATGCCGCATGTCGTATGTCGTATAACGGTAACACAACAACCAGTCGTATGTCGTATAACGGTTTCATAACAACCAGTCGTATGTCGTATAACGGTAACACAACAACCAGTCACATGTCGTATAACGGTCACATAACAACCAGTCGTATGTCGTATAACGGTAACATAACAACCAGTCGTATGTCGTATAACGGTAACATAACAACCAGTCGTATGTCGTATAACGGTAACATAACAACCAGTCGTATGTCGTATAACGGTAACATAACAACCAGTCGTATGTCGTATAACGGTAACATAACAACCAGTCGTATGTCGTATAACGGTAACATAACAAACAACCAGTCGTATGTCGTATAACGGTAACACAACAACCAGTCGTATGTCGTATAACGGTAACATAACAACCAGTCGTATGTCGTTTAACAGTAACATAACAACCAGTCGTATGTCGTATAACGGTAACATAACAATTAGTCGTATGTCGTATAACGGTAACATAACAATTAGTCGTATGTCGTATGACGGTAACATAACAACCAGTCGTATGTCGTATAACGGTGTCCTAACAACCAGTCGTATGTCGTATAACGGTAACATAACAACCAGTCGTATGTCGTTTAACAGTAACATAACAACCAGTCGTATGTCGTATAACGGTAACATAACAATTAGTCGTATGTCGTATAACGGTAACATAACAATTAGTCGTATGTCGTATAACGGTAACATAACAACCAGTCGTATGTCGTTTAACAGTAACATAACAACCAGTCGTATGTCGTATAACGGTAACATAACAACCAGTCGTATGTCGTATAACGGTAACACAACAACCAGTCGTATGTCGTATAACGGTGTCATAACAACCAGTCGTATGTCGTATAACGGTAACATAACAACCAGTCGTATGTCGTATAACGGTAACACAACAACCAGTCGTATGTCGTATAACGGTAACATAACAACCAGTCGTATGTCGTATAACGGTAACATAACAACCAGTCGTATGTCGTATAACGGTAACACAACAACCAGTCGTATGTCGTATAACGGTAACATAACAACCAGTCGTATGTCGTATAACGGTAACATAACAACCAGTCGTATGTCGTATAACGGTAACACAACAACCAGTCGTATGTCGTATAACGGTAACATAACAACCAGTCGTATGTCGTATAACGGTGTCATAACAACCAGTCGTATGTCGTATTAAGCAGATCCACGCGAGACACAAAGTATTTGCTCTTGTGTCTTATATACCGGCAGTCCAGACGTTAATATACTAAAACATTTATAGCTCAAACACTTATCTGAAAACCGCATCAAAATCTGATCAGCCAATCGCGAGATAATCGCGCACAAACATACATACCATGCATACATACAGGGTGTAAACGGACGGAACGCTCCCGAAAAACGCTGACAAAAATAATAGTTTTTAACATTGTAATCGTTGTTGTTTACATGTTATTCAAACAACGTTAGCCTTGAGCGGTTAATTACAACAATTATTACATAAAGGAAACATTTAATTCCTTAATTTCATGAAAATAAAACTGGTTTTTGACCATAATCTGTCGGCGTTTTTCGGGAGCGTTCCGTTTACACCCTGTATATATCAAACTTAGAACCACCCTCTTTGAAATCGGTTAAAAAAAAGTAAATCAGGGATTCATAGGTAGAATCGGTCATTTGCAAAATATATTAATTATAGAATCATTTATATTTACACTTAAAACTTTACAAAATACGTTAATAGATCAATTTTTTTATAGTATAAGCCGGTAAACGAGCAGACGGATCAACTGATGGTAGTGAAACAAGTGAATTTATTTCTGCAAATAGGCTACAAGGCAGCACTTTTACACGGCAATTTTATCAAGCGAACGATGAGGTCGACATTTCCTAACTGACTACTCTGAGAAGAAATGCTAAGCAATCAGAAACGCTCATGGACACGCAGAACAACAGAAGCGCATTACCGGCCCTTTAGAGATTAAGAAATTGAGGAATGTTGGGGATTATGGAATTAACCATTTGAGTACCGTCATTATAGACACAATTAAAGAACAATAAGTTGCGATTACCGGTGACCTCGCGGTGTTTGACAGTTTAAGGAGATTAGGGAAGGGGGGGAGGTAATAGTGCCTCCACTGCCGTCACTTACGTGTGCTCCCATCGCTGTCACTGGCGACCAGCACGGTCGTGGTACCACTGCGGTGGAGTCCACCCAGTGTCGAAGCATGGCGAGCCCAGAATTCAATTAAAATAACATAATAAACATTGTATTCACCTTAACTCCTTGCGGGAACAATGCAGCGCCGATCATGATCTGCCCTTGTAGCACTCGAGTGAACGCAGACTTCTGCTCCGTAGTAGGGGCCCGAGATAGGTGGCGGGTTCGAGTTATGTCCGTAGTACCATCCCTGGAGATTAAATAACGATATATATTTTTTAAATATTGCCTCACATTAAGATTATCTCCTGTGTCGTGGGTGCGTTTACAACCATACAAGTTCATATACACATGACAACCAGAGACGGAACAACAATTTGTGGATCACACAAAGTGTTGTCCCGTACGGGAATCGAACCCGCGATACGTTGCATGACAGCCGGTTGCCCAGCCACCACACCAACCGTGCAGTCAATACAATAAAATAATATAAAATCACGCCTTTTATCCCCGAAGGGGAATGGTGCACACTACGGCACTCAGTGCCACTGTACAATGTAACACCCACTTTTTACTATTTATGTTATGAGTCCCATGTAATAGGGGGTGAGCCTATTGCGATATACCGGACAATCCTAGACTCCGTGCTACTAATGAGATTGTTTTTTAAAATTGTTTGTTAAAATTGTTTTTAATGTACTTTATACAAAAAAATATCTAAAAAATAATCAAACTGGTTTTTATAATATTATTTCGTCCTTTTCCAGCTATTTTTTTAACAAGACGCAGGAACATCATTAAGTACGTATTTTTTACAATATTTAGTTTTTAATCAATAAAATAATTCAATTTGAAAAATATAGTATTATTATGAATATCAGATTTTTTGAAAGTTCATTTTCAGCGGAAAACCAGAAAAGTTTTAAAAAGCCAACAATTTTTCGATACTTAGATGGGTCTTAATTGCAATCTCTAAGTCGTCTGCCAAGTGTGGGGATTATGACAACACCTGGATATTATAATGATGGCAGGTTGATGTCATAGTGCCCCGGAGGTTAAGAGAGCGTGGGTTTGAAAGGAGAACGGCAGATTTTGTACCGCTTCGCTAAAAAAAGATTTGTCATTAAAAAATTGGGTCATTATAGAACCTCCTAAGTACGTTATGTTAGCATATTTAATAGATTTTTAAAACTTGGGAAACCCTAGAAAAACTGATATTCAATAATGATAAAAAGCAATCCACTATACGTAAAACGAACCGCGATTGACGTTTACAAAGTTGCCATGCGTAAAGATGAAATCAGAGCATATTGAATTTCGCTATTTCATAAACTCATTTATTTTAATATCTATCAATGAAATATTTTCCTTTCCATTTCAAACATTTTTATAAGTAAATATAAAAATCTACATCCAATCTAAATCTACGTTTACATGGATTATTAATGATAATTAACATTTTAACAAACTTGAATATTATGGCAATGTTGAACTGGCATTTGTCTTGATGACATTGACAATTAATTTGTCAATACTGGCGCATTGCTGTTTGTTTCAAATGCGATGTTATGATGTGTTTGTTGAATTTGAAGTTATTTTATTCATCTGGTGATACGTTAGTTTGGCAACCGTTCCTCCGTAGCCCAAATTGGTATTATTGGCATCATTGTTGTGACAATTGCGAAAAGACACTTATTTACATTATTTTGTGCAGTGTGTTGTTATTTGTCGCGATGATGAATTTACAGTGTATTAATTGCATTCAGAGTTTGTCGCACATGAGACGGCATGCTCTAGAAAATGAGAGTGAAGATTAGACGTGGTCAACAATATCCCAATGTGGACTTATCCTAGAGATGTAAGTACCTAGTTTACCCATAACATATCGAAAGTCACCATGTTGCCTGAATAAAAGAAGGCGCATAGTGTTATCTACCCATAATGTATCATTTTATTCTTTTTATTCTAGATCTCTCCTACCGACCATATTTGCAATGCTTGCTGGCAATTAGCAATGTATCGGGATGTTGCTGAAAGTATGTCCAGCAAACAAATTGGTCACTGGCATGTTTGTGTCGTATATGGGTGATTCATTGCAATGATAAGGTGACGCAGGGTTTTAATTGAAGGCGCCAACAAACAGGAGTAAAGACTGGCTCATATAGTATTTGATTGGATTCAGCCACAAGAGGTAATAAAGCATAATTTAACCATACTATTATCTATATACAGTGTAATCTAAAGTCAATATCATATTCTAATAATATTACTTATTTTAGCTTACTTCCCATGATGAAGATCATGTTCCATACTGACTGAGAGACCGTACAAGAGTCGAAACTATAAAACCACAACCTGACATACCACCTCACAGTGTTCACTATCAGGAAGTAATGTATTATGTAAACATGGACTAAGCCTCACTTTAACATTGCCATTTGTAGAACAGATGAGGCCGGATGATGTTGTTCGGCTCTCAAAGCTTCAACAGGTATGCATTCTCAATATAATGTACCTACATAATTATGTATCTATGTGGAGTATATAAGCGGTTTCTAATAGGTTTATACTCATGTTATAATTATAATTTATTAATTAGCATGCTGTTTGAGCTCCTATGATCTGTGTTATACGAATAACTATAATAAATGTTATAAAATGAAGTAATGTAATCAAATATTTATTTTTATCTTTTCCATTTTAAGATAGGGAATCAGACTTATTATTATAACATATAAAACTAAAGGAAAAAAATGTACTTTTGTTTACTTTATTTACAGTTATCTTACTTGTTTACAGATATCAGCAATTGATGTCTGCTGTACCTATGACACGGCCTGTTCTCTTTTTAGATGAAGTACTCCTAGAAACAACCTGAATACAATGAAATAAAAGTATTTCAAAATAATACATTTGTTTTATTTTAACCTAGTAAGTAACTTATACATCTTGATAAAAGTGATTTTAAGAATCAATCTATAAAATAAATGCCATATTTAATTTAGATAGCTTTAGTTTTATACCAAAAATGTTCATTTTCATTTTACATTTTCTTTAGTTGTAATGTGGTGGCCCAGAGGTTTAAGAAGCCCGCTTCTCATGCATGAGAGTGCGGGTTCGAAACCTACCAACGGCAAAGTACCTTTTGTCCAATGTGTCTTTTTTCCGAGTTATTGGTATATTCAATAATCTAAGAAAGTACAAAGACACCGCTGACGAATGGTGAAGGAAAACATTGTGAGGAAACATGGGCTTATAATTTCTTATTATAAGTTTGAATTACCAACCCACATTGAGCTAGTATGGTGATTAATGCTCAAACCTCCATGCGAGAAGAGGCTTCGGTCAGCAGTGGCCACTTATAGACTTAATGATGAAAATGTTGATGATTCTACTAATTTGACTTACTTATTAGAAATTAATCCTTACATGCGTGCTAAGCAACCAGTTTTCAGAAGAAATACTTTCTCAAAGAGCTAAGCTAAGTTTAAATCGAATTAACTTGAGACCCTTGAGACTATCTACCTGCAAGATTCAAGGTGAAGTGAGACATTAGTTTTATCATATCCGCCACAAGACTTCCACTGCTAAATGTAGGCCTTCTACCCAATGACAGTCGCTTACATTATGAATTTGCATTTTCGTAGGCACCTAAGAAATGAAAAAGATTGTGAGGCATACTCTTTAAAACTCTATAGGTGCATCATGCTTGCTGAATTAACAGGATCATTCCTAATTGCCTTTTGCGCTGCGACGCACCATAGGTTATTTTTTGGGTTTCTAAATTCTTGTTGTGTGTCGTAGCAAAATAAATGGTTTTTCTTTCTTTCTTTCTTTCTAATAATACAAAGTGTAATAGTCACTTGAGTAGCGAGCAGTATTTTTAGATTTTTGTTTTTTGTAAATAAACAACCACATGAGAGCACATTGACATTTTTCAGTTAACTGTCATCTGTCATTTGTAATAGATATTTTGCTTACGGTGGCTCTACACTTGACGTTGCGTATTTGTTGTGTTCGGCCAAAAAAGAACATGTTTAGAGGATTTATTCTTCTTTGTTTGCTATATATTTGCACGCCATTACATATAGAGATACTATTTGGACGCCATTTGTACGTAGTCTATAAATATTTGGACAAATGAAGCGACTACGCAATGTCAAGTGTGGTACCACCTTAACATACCTTTTGCACATTTTCAAAGTGAAATAACTTTTGAACCCCAAGTTCTAAAAATATGTAATTTTTTTCTAAACTTCATAATAAAAATATCTATCGTTCAGACTATTCACTTGGTTAAAACAATGACTAATACAAAATTTTATAGCGGTACAAAACTTCCATACAAACCTGCCATTCTCCTTTACCAACGGCAAGTACCAATGTGACTTTTTCCGAGTTATATGTACTTTCTAAGATTATCTAGACGCCACTGACAAACGGTGATGGAAAACATCGTTAGAAACCTAGACTTATAATTTTTAATAATAATTTTATAATCTCCAACCCGCATTTGGCAAGCGTGGTGATGAATGCTCAAACTATCTCCGTATGAGAAGAGGCCTTTGGTCAGCAGTAGCTATTTAAAACAATTAACTTACATATATTGTCCACCGGAGTCAAGTATGAACATGTCTTCTTTCTCAATAGTCTTCTGCGGTCCGTCTCTAGAGGGGCAGTAATGTATGATGGCTCCGTTTGCGCCAGATCCGGGGATAGTGGAGAATGAGGGACCCATGAAATGATCCTCATCCCTGGAAGTTGAAATCAAAGTTATTTTACTTAATGACTACTAAACTTAAACCACCCCGTTGCTACTCCTGCACTTCGAGCCAGAGTCCCAGCAACCAGTTAAGTCTTTCGCGGCTCCGTATCGGCATCGGCCCTATTGGGCACCATCTGTGGTGGTCTGATGGCTCTTTGAGGCGCGCACGGGCGCGACGCGCCGCACGCTCGGGTAAACAAAAGGCCTTGATTGGTAGAATAGAGCTTATTGAAACCGTTTAATATAAAACATGTTGCTATATATATATATATATATATATATATATGTCGGAGGAAGCTGGGAGTTAATTGTTACTTGCATTGCATAACACACACTAATTTTGTTTGTTTTATATTCACTTTTTAAAATGCCTTAATTAATTTAAATTGATTTGTCATACTTAAAATTCTTAATTTGATTTATTAGAATTATTAATAATTTGAATTTGACTGCCTATGTAACGACCAATCAGAGCAGAGCGCGCGCCTCGAGCGGGGTCGAGGCGCCATCTTACTGATAAAAAAGGAGATAGTTTTGGCGGGAGAGCATGAATTGGCTGTCGGTCGAGTTGGATCGTTTATGTGATTTACTGTAAGATCGGTGCCCTGAACCCGCTGCTCAGTCCTAATTATTAACTTTTCTTTTGCGTTATTGTGAAACAGATAAAACTATTGTTACTATCTAAATTAAAAGAGTGTTTATTGTGATTATTGTGTTTTGTGCTCGCATTTTACCCTCATGACGCCCACTAAGCCCGCAATCACAAATGACGATGTCGGCGATGACAATGTTTCTCCGACATATATATATATATATATATATATATATATATTACTTCTGTAAACATTTTTTTACGGATGGCATAAGCCGGTAAACGAGCAGACGGATGATGATGGTAAGCAAGAGTTTGAGGATTGTTAGGAATTTGGGAGATTGGGGAGGGTGGTGGTTGAGGTTGGTGGAAGGTGTTACTGGGCCTCCGATAACCTCACTCAGACGACGAAACACAACGCAAGCGTTGCTTCACGTCGGTTTTCTGCTCGGCCGTGGTATCACTCCGGTCGAGCTGGCCCAGCAGTGCCGAAGCATGGCTCTCCTACACTTTACTTACTTGCGGAACTCGAGTAGTTTATCAGCGGCTTGTATTTCTGTCACCTCTTTGCCGCCATCTATTTCGTCGTGAAGCCATTTCAGTAGACGAACTACTGCTATGCCGTCGCGTACGTGGCAATCTCGGAAACCCTGTGATGGAAACAATTCAATATTGGTTTTATACATCGGCGATATATTAAAGAAGGGGAAATTAAAAGTACCCTTAACCGACGAGCATGCACGAAAAGACTGATGACTGTTGATGAATCGAAAGAGGTAAATAGGAATTGTAGCAATTGGGTAGTTTCCAGAGCATCAAAATTAAACATCTAATTAGTCCGTCAGTTACATAATGAAAAAATATTAGACACGTATTTTATTTTCTCGTATTAAGTTGCAATACTTAGATAAAATGGTGCTAAGTTTAGGAGTGAGAGGTCGTTACGTCATAACGTGCTACAAAATGTGGCACGCTGTGACGTCACACGATATTTCAAATTAATATATCGTCGAAAGTATTTAATTTTGTGAGAAAAGAAAAAATACGTGTCATCGAATGACTGCTCCCGCCTGGGTGAGGCGGGAGGGAGTGTCAGACTGTTACTGACTAAACATAACCCCGTTCTTACTCCTGCCTTTCGAGCCGGAGCCCCAGTAACCCGTTATGTCATCCATGGTGATCTCATGGCTCTTCGAGACGCGCGCAATTATTTAGGTTTAAAATATAATTATGTTGACTTACTTGCAACTCGACATCGTTCTTAGTAAGCTTCATAAGACTGACGGGCGATACTTCTGATATTATATTTAATGGGGTTGCTAATACGTCCGCCTGAAAAAAAAATATAAAAAATAAAGTCCATTTTCGTGTCTATCTGTTCAATATCTGCACAGCAACTGTAGCCAAATGCCATTTAGCGCTTATCTACATGTAGAATAGAAAACCAAATTATATGGAACTAGCTTTTACCCGCGGCTTCGCTCGCGTTACAAAAGGATAAAAAGTAGCCTATGTGACATATACAAATACACACAGCGCCATCTATACCAATACTTTTGTTTTTCCTCGGGAATATCAATTATTCCGAGTTAAAAAGTACCCTATTATTTAATCTAGACTTCTAACTTTACGTCTGCAAAAATTCACAGCAATCGGTTTAGTAGTTACGGCGTTAAAATGGAACAAACAAACAAACAAACTCACTTTCCGATTTATAATATAAGTAAGGAAGTAAGGATTGACGTAAATTTTGACACTTGTCAGTGTCATCTCCATACATTTAGTTGTCTACTCTTTCTGTAGACAAGCGCTAAAGTGGCGTTTGGCTAAAGGTACTGAGGTATTCTTTGTAATGAATGAACGACGTCTTGTCATATGCCTCACACTTGAAAGGTGATTTGAGCATTAAATAGGGATGATGACGGGGTATGAAAATTAAAAACGTAGACACTCTAATTTTATTTATCACTGACGATATTTTTTTAATATTTTGACATGATTGATGACGCAATACGGACGTATAACAGTCCGTCAGTTAGGTAATGAAAAAATATTAGACACGTATGTTTTTATTTTGTCGTATAAGAAAGCAATACTTAGATAAAACGAATCAAAGTTTAGGAGTGGGAGGTAGCTACGTCAGTTTTGAGTATAATCCGTATACAAAAGTGACGTCACGCGATACTTCAAATCAATATATCGTCAAAAGTATTTTGTTTCCGTAAGAAAATAAAATGTACGTGTACATATTTTAAAATAATCTACTAGACTAGACGGATATTAGAAAATAAAATAGTCATCTTGCAATCTCCAAATCGTCTACCAAGTGTGGGGATTATGACAACACCTTGAAATGATGGCAGTTTGATGTCGTTGTGTCAAAATATGCTACACTTTAAGGATATTTTGTAACACATATATACAACAGGATATTACAACATTTAAGGCAAATAAATATATTATTATAATATAATCCCCACACTTGGCAGGCGATTTGAACATAAAAATTGTAATAAATTCTCAATCAGACGCTTGTTTGGGTCACATAAAACTTAGGGTAGTCTTAATAGCGATCTCCAAATTGTCTACCAAGTTTGGGGATTAAGACAACACACATAATAATGATGGTAAGTTTAAATATGCTTACCCCAGACGCAGCTCTATGTATCGCCTCGCTAGAATCGCTAGAGAGCCAGATAGAATGCTTGCATCCTGTCTCACTTAGCTCTTTCTGGAAAAAAATATACATAGATATTTATAATAAGGGCATTGGTGTGCTGCAATTGGGTACTTCCCTTAATCAAAAATAAATTATTTCAACTGTTAAATACAATAAAATATTAAATAATAATCACACTTTCATATATTGATGAACTTTATTTCAGTATTTTATCAGCAATTGATTAAAAAATAAGTATATACTGTTTGACGCCAAAAAACATGACGTCACAATACCCAATCTCGTACAAAATTCATAGAAAACTGTCGTCTTTGATAGTTTGTAAAAAGTATAGAATTCGACTAGTTGGCAAGTACACAATGTTGTATAATATAATTATTATAGTATTGTTATTGTTTTATTTTTCTTTTCTTTTGTTTACTTTTCAACCGACTTCAAAAACAAACATTCTGAATTTGACTTGTATATAATTATGTATATTTGTGTGCAATTATTTTGCAATTGGCTGAACCGAATTTGATGCGGTTTTCAGAAAAGTGTTTGTTATACTTAGAAGAAGGTTATTATTAATTTACCGACTTCGATAAAAGAGGGTTTTTTTAAAGGTGGTTTATAAAATAATTATTTTTGTTATATTTTCTCTTGTTACTTTGTGTGATGTTTGATACACACCTTGTACAGTATTATTTGTTTGTTTTGTCAAAACCGGATCAAAATCAGTTCAGGCAATAGCGAGATAACACCGCACAAACATACAAACAAACACACATACATGTCAAACATGAGAACCTCTTTAATTGAACTTTATTTTATTTTTTTTACATTGACTGACATTGTATTTAGTATTTTAGTTTAGTATTTTGACAATATACGTTTTGACATATTGACATTGTATTTAGCATTTAAACATTATAAGAAATATTTTAACACTTTGATGGAAATAACACTGATACTTCTATCTACTGTCATGTACCAAGCAAAATCTTAGATGTGTGATTGAATCAATTTACTTGGCATTATTGTAATTACTAGTTTTTTTTTTAATTTTTTTTATAAAGCATGATTAACATAATATTTCTACACCAGCAATGGTAGTGTATGTGAAACAATATTTAATGTAAAAGCTCAATGTACCATATACTTGGAAATAAATGACATTCTATTCTATTCTTTATTTTGAAGTCAGTTAAAAATATTTCGTACTCACGGCCATATCTCGTAAATGTTCCTCAATACTATCGTATGGGAACCGTTGTAGATGGACCTGCTCCTCAGCCAATTGCAGGCACAGAGCTGCTGTGAGCTCATTGGCCGTAAATAGGAGCACCGCCGTAGGAGTTATAATAAGATAGGAGAAGAACACGGGGTTGTATTCTATATCACTGCCGCGAAGGTTCAGGACGTCTGTTGAAAGATGGCCGGTTTTAGGACGTGGCTGGAGTTAGGGTGTGGCCTAAATTAGGCGCTGTTGGTTTTACTGTTATATGAGTTTTGTGTGGTAATTTTAACTAGTACTGGTATTAGGGGAGCGTTTAATTGAAATTCATCACCACCAACAGCCTATAAATGCCCACTGCTGAGCAAAGCCTCTTCTCACACTGAGAAGGTTTGAGCATTAATCGCCATGAATTGAATTGAAACTCCTTAGTGTTAATATAAGGATTTTGTTAATGAACATGACATTTAACAAATAATTTGGTATATAGGGTCGACATTGTTAGGTTGGCAAGTAACAAAATATTTTTTGTTAGGTTGGTAATATGACTTGTTATGTATGTTGTCACATTGTGTTGTAAAAATATTAAAAATCATAAAGGTAGTTGTTGTGAGAAAAGGCGTGTGTTAATAGACATTAGGCCGGAATGGGGATGACGACAGGGTATGAAAATTAAAAATATAATTAGTCCGTAAGTTAGGTAATGAAAAATATTAGACTGTAAGGTTGGGTGTTTGGATGAGTGTAATGAAACCAACGAGCTCCGAGAATACACTGAATATATTGAATATAGGATGCTTAATATATATCTTACGACTACTACACCACACCTTCCCCTTTATTAAAAAATAATAATAAAATACATGATTATTATTATTTTTGAAAATAACATAATTTTTGAATATAACTGTTCATTTGTATACTAATATACCTTATATACCTTACCTCTATATACCTTATATACCTTACCTCTATATACCTTATATACCTGCGCAGGGTATATTTAATTACATAATGCACGCATACAATATTATGTATAGAATAAGTGCAATATAAGCATAGACATGATTAAAATAACAATACGATTACATTTTTGAAATAGTAAAACTTAAATTCTACAAAAAAATATTTAAGGAAAAAAAATTAGTCAATTTTATAAGGTTTAGTTCTGTTTTTATGCACTACATATTCCTTTCCGTCTTTTAAGATATTCACATTACAATCCAAATCTTCAAGTACTTCGTAAGGTCCCAAATATATAGGATCCATTTTACTATCGGATGTATTCCTTAGTAATAATAAATCACCCCTTTTATAATATACTGGGTTTTTGGTAGAATCATAATAGTGCTTTCTCTTAAGCTTAGACTTAATTAAATTATTATGTCCATCCTTTTGCGCTAATTGGAGTCTATATTTTAACTCAAGAGCATAATTATCATGAGCATATAAAGGATCTACGATATGACCTTCTAAATTTGTAGGTAATATACAGCGTTTACCAAAAACTAACTCGTGCGGTGTGTACTTGGTTTCCGTATGTACTGCATTATTATAACAAAAACACCAATACGGTAACCAAGCACTCCACGCATTTGGTTGATTTTCACAATTAATTCTTAGATACGCACCCATTGTTTTATGGTTGTTTTCCAATGCCCCAATGCTTTGGTGATGGTAAGCTGTAGAAGAAATTTGATTGATTTTTAAGATTTGGCATATCTCTTTCATGGTACTTGATATAAATTCTGACCCACGATCGGTTGCTATTTCTCTCGGTATGCCATATCTTAAAATAAAATTCTCTACAAATGCGCGAGCTACACTTACCGTATCTTTGTTGCGTAAAGGGTACGCCTCTGTGAATTTCGATAATTCGCATTGTAAGGTCAAAATGTATTTGTAACCATTTATGTCAGGTGGCAACGGTCCTACAATGTCTAAATATACCTTTTCTAATGCTGAATTTGCAGTCGTTGTGACTTGCATAGGTTGCTTAACATGTGTGTAGAATACTTTTGTTTCTTACACTGCTGACACTTAGAGACATAATCAGCGACATCTTTTTCCATACTTGGCCAGAAGTAATACTTCTTTATGTTATTCGTCATCCGCCTAATACCCGCGTGGCCACTTGTGGGTAATAGGTGGAAGTCGTTTAAGATCACGCGCCTATTATCTAAATTATCTATCCTTTGAACGTTACCAACTACACAAATACGTGGTCCGGACCACATTTCGTACTTTTTTATTTCATTTATAAGTCCATTAATAAAATCTTCATTATAATCATTTCTTAAGATGCATATCTCATTAATAAAAAACTTCTTGCATAAACATAACAAGTCTCTCACCAATTCGACTCGCGTAATTGGAGATCGAGATATTGTCTGTAAATAAATTGAGGACTTACTGGGCACATACATCAAATGTTTAAACTTTTCCACTATAACACCTTTTTTTACTAAATCATTTGCTTGTCTAGAGTTTATCAAACATAGTTCGATAATATTCCTGGGCTTTTTAATTATTTCCACCACTCTCGGTTGTACAGGCCTCGAGTGTGTGTCCATATTATCCACCGATGGTACATTATCGCTCTTGTTATCATTTGTATTCAACTGACGCAATTGCCTTCTAGTCATTACACTAACTACTTGTTCATTCATTGATTTTAAATCTTCAGATGTAATTATTATTCGCGATAGCGCATCCGCCACAGAATTTGATTTACCTTTTAAATATTCAATTGTAAAATTGAATTCTTCTATTTGTAGTCTAAATTTTAATAATCTACTTGATGGATCCCTCATTGAAAATAAATAAACTAAAGGTCGATGGTCGGTCTGTATCTTAAACCGCTTTCCGTATAAATAAGGTCGAAAATATTTAACACTCCAAACTATTGCTAAGAGCTCCTTCTCAATAGTAGGGTAATTAATTTCAGCTTTATTTAAACCACGACTTGCATAAGCTACTGGCCGACCATCTCCGTTGCATAAAACCGATCCTATAGCTTTACCTGATGCATCGGTTTGTAATATAAATGTATTGCTATCTGAAAAATCTGGGTACTGCAGAACAGGCGGGGTCGTTAGGGCTGATTTTAACGTTTTGAAGGATTGCTCACATTCTTTTGACCACTCAAACTTAACATTTTTGCGACACAATTTATTTAACGGAAACGCAAACTCCGCGAAATTCCTAATAAACCTTCTATAATAATTGGCAAATGCTACGAACCGCTGCAGTTCATCAATATTCTGTGGTCTTGGATAATTTTCGACCACTTTTATCTTATCTGGGTCTGGTAAAATACCTCCTGCAGACACTATATGACCTAAATAAAGAACTTCCTTTTGCAAAAATGAACACTTAGAAGGATTCAATTTTAAATTTACTTTACGTAATCTAGAGAAAACATCCATTAAATTTTGATTATGACTATTCAAATTTCTACCCATTACTACCAGATCGTCTTGATAAATTAAACATTTATCGTAATTAAGTCCAGACATTGCAATAGTCATCATTCTGCTAAAACTACTGGGACTAGACTTAAGTCCCATTGGCATTCGGGTCATTTGGTACTGATTATTACCAGTGGTAAATGCCGTATATGGTCTGCAATTTTCCTTTAATGAAATTTGAAAAAATCCTTGATATAAATCTAAATGAGTAAAGTACATTGCTCCTGACAAAGAGTCTAGTATCTCGGTGATGTTGGGCAAAGGGAATTTATCGTCTTGTATGTTATCATTTAGCTTACGATAATCAATTACGACACGCCACTTTTTATTACCGGATGCATCGCACTTTTTGGGTACTAGCAGCAATGGGCTTGACCATGCACTTCGAGATGGCTCAATTATACCGTCGTTTAACATACTTTTAATTTGTTTTTGCAGTTCAGGTTTTTGAGCGTACGGCAACCTGTAAGGTTTTGTATAAATGGGACTAGTATGCGGTTTCATGTCAATTGTTTGCTCGTATACGGGGGTAGTGGATAATTTGTCCCCTGGTAAATGAAAAATATCAGGGAATTTAGCACAAATTTGCTCTATTGATATTTGTTCCTCAGTATTTAATTGTTTTAAATTTAATAAGGAAAATAAAGTTTTCACCCTTTCCGAATGAACTGCAGATTTACTAAATTGACAAATATAATATTCACTTAAATAATTAGCTCTAACTGGAAACCAATTCAATTTAACGTCTGTGTCACGAGTATTTAAAATACGAATAGGCATTTTTCCATTTACTGGTTTGCTTATACTGCTCGCTAAATAAACTCCATCACTTAATTGCTGATTTTTCACGACACACGCATCTTTTAATTCTGTATCAATATAATGTGTGGATTCGCTACGCCTTGGTATAATTAAATAGTTCCTATTGTAATTTGGCTGATTATTCTCAAATGATATTGTTAATAGTTCATTGTTGTTAACAAATAATTGTAAAGTGTCATTTTCAAAGTTTAAAATAGCTTTATATTGTGACAAAAAGTCTTGACCAACAATGCCATCTGTCTTACACGGTAATTTTTTAAATACTATGAACTTATGAGGAAAATCATACTCGTTATAATTAAGTATTAAATGCACATAACCCTCAGAGTACAAAGATCCACCTATACCTTTCACGCTAACTCTTTCTTTATGGTAAGGAATGTGTAACCGCTCTAAACATTCCAAACTTATTCCCGATATAGATGCGCCGGTGTCTATTAGCAAGCTATGTTTATAATTACAAATGTTAAAAGACACTTTATTTAAATTGTTACAAGAAAGGATTATATGATTAGTCACGAAAAAAATGATTAAGTGACTCATTATTCGAAGTGCCTGTTGTTGCTATCTGGCTATTCTCTGTTATAATGTTGACATTCCTTTGCGATCTGATACCCCTGACTCTGCCGCAGTTACTACGCGATGATTTGTTCGCTCCGCGATAACGATTGCCATAATTACTACGGTAGTTATTATTATTATAGCCATACGGTACCTGCTGCTGTAGACCTCGATGCCCACGTGAATGGTGTGCTGCAAATCTACGTTGACCGCGAAACCCTCTGTGAGGTCTCTGAACCTGGTATTGCTGTCTATACGTACCCATGATTTCTGATGAACCACTAGGAATAGGTGCCTCTTCATCTTGGGCCGCCTGGATTGCCTCTGTCAAAGAAGTAAAATTACGCGCGGCAATTACGGTACTCAGACGACGGTCCCTCAAACCATCAGCAAACCGTTTGATTGCTAACTTCTCGTTTATGGGTTTTAGTAAATCATATTTCTCTGACTCACTGTCGGCTTGAGATAATGTCAAATTTACAAAAAGATCTGATATTTCTTTCCCATAATCGGTTACTGTTCTATTATTTTGCTTACAGTATTGCAGTTTTGTTTGTATAGCGACAAAACTTTTTTGTGGTAGTAACAATTTTCGCATATCCTTTATAAGCTCAGTAACTGTCTCGTATTTTGATGATAATAACAATTTTGCACGCTGGGATAACCTGCTTTTCAACACAAACTGAATTAACTTAGTTTTACATGTTGGTTTTTCTAGCACAGAATTATAGTACTCGATACTTTCGATCAGCTGTTTTGTGTTATCAATGCTGTCATCCATGACAGACAATAAATGCAACGCAGTTTTAAGATCAAATGAATCCGTAGTCATGATTTCTATCGAGGGAGTGCCCTCGCCCGCTGTAGTACAAAAGGAAATTACTTCTAAAAATAGGCTATCAAACTCTCTACAAATCCTTGTAATTAAATTAATCTCAGAACTTGCAATAGATTTTAACTTTTCTTTATATAGTTCTAAAAACTTATTGTACTTTATTAAAATATTATCTGCCTCTTTTCTTTTCGTCTCTAATATTTTTCCTTGTCGACGGCTGGGACCAATTTTTATTAAATAGTTTCTTACAGATTTTAACTCATTTAGTATCAGACTTAATTCTTCAGCCATAACAGGTTAACAAAACATTTAACGCAAACTGCGACTAACGTAAACTCAGCGAGGATACACATAATAATTTTACTTAACATTATACTCTTATAATAAACAAACCTGTACTAACATGTTGTAGCTCTTAACATAAAACGTTACTGTCTCTATTTACTTAATAGTACGCCACTGATATTGAACCGATCACATCACTACACTACACTAGCACTCTACACATATTTTCGGACGACACCGACACTACACTACAGCTTACGACGTTGAGAAGGCTCTGTCGTGAAGATACCATCTGCGTATTGTCACCTTCCCAGCTATACATCAAATTCCTTGGACTTGTCAGTTTGTGGCATAGCAGTCAAGTGTGCCTGTTGTCTGCGTAGGATACTGGTGTATCGTTTTAACGTCATTTCATTCACACAACGCTGTATCTTCTTCTTGTGGCAATGGTTATACAGCTTGTATGTTACCAGCAGCAATCCAATCACTAAAACGGTGCAAATAACCACCAGAATTGCATTAGTGGTCTCATGAAGTTGCTGCGCACGAGCCGTATTGCTACCGACTCCAGCTGTCTGGGCAATCACCACTTGTTCTTTGACTTCTTTGGAACTAGAACCGCCCATTTTTCACCAACAACGACGAACAAAGATGCGTAACAATAAGACGTGTTGTATACGCCGTGAGCTCCGATGTTATTCTATTCATTTTAAAGACGCCTGTAACTTTCCACTTATTGTTTAGAATAATTTGCCCGTATATGGAGCACACGCGCTCGGCCCCGTGCCGTGCTATGATCCTGGCAGGGTCGCCATGTAAGGTTGGGTGTTTGGATGAGTGTAATGAAACCAACGAGCTCCGAGAATACACTGAATATATTGAATATAGGATGCTTAATATATATCTTACGACTACTACACCACAAGACACGTATTTTTTTATTTTGTCGTATAATAAAACAATACTTAGATAAAACGAATCAAAGTTAAGGAGTGGGGACTAAAACGTCATTTCTATGTATAAAATGTACTGAGATGTGACGTCACGCGACATTTCAAATCAATATATCTTCGAAACTATTCGTTTCTGTGAGAAAATAAAAAATACGTGTCTAATGTTTTTAAATAATCTATCAGACGGACATTAAAATAAAAATTAGTCGTCTACCCTATTAGGGACGTGGCGGAATTAGGCGTGTTATAAAATATGTGCAACTCACAAGCGACTTCATCTAAAGCGGTGATGACCAGCGCCGAAGCTTTCTTATCCTCCATTTTGGCACGAAGCTCAGCAATCTTCTCACCGGCACATTTACCTGTAACAAAATAGAATGTAGTGACAAGGATTGAAAAGGGAATGTCACGCTGGTATGGACATGTATAAAGGATGGATGAAAGTAGAGTAACGAAAGAAGTATACAGAGCGGATATGAATGGGGCCGTTGGTAGAGGGCGCCCTAGATGGTCATCGTAAGTGCGGGCCTGTGGACGGCGAGCATGGGTGGCTCCCCGTCCGACTAGAAACAGATCCGAGCGTACGGCGCCGAGCGGTCCGCGCGACACAAAGAGCCATCAGACCACCGCGGATGGGGCTCAATAGGGCCGATGCCGATTCAGAGTCGCGGAGAACCTAACGGGTAACCGGGGCTCCGGCTCGACGGATGGGACGGGTGGTTTTTAGTCAGTAAGAGTCTGACACTCCCTCCCGCCTCACCCAGACAGGAGCAGTCATTCGATGATTTTACCCCCGTAAAAAAAGCGACACGGGTAACAGCTAGTAATATTAGTAAGATTGATAAGTCTACTTACCAGTAAACTTGAGAGGTAGCGCGATGATATCGTTACTGGGTCTGCAAGGAATATGTTCTCCACATTGCTTCCTTGCTTCATCCACCAAATTAGCTCCGACCGCAACTAGGACCATATTGTGTTTGGTCAGCGCTGACTGTAATAAATATAAATCTATATATATAAAAGAAAGTCGTGTTAGTTACACTATTTATAACTCAAGAATGGCTAAATCGATTTGGATGAAAATTGGTGGGGAGATAGCTTAGAACCAGGATTCGGACATAGGATACTTTTTACCCAATTCTTTTTTTTTTACTTTTTACCGAAAACCAAGAACGGGAACGGGAAATATCGGGATTGCGCGTACGAAGTCGCGGGCAGAAGCTAGTAATTTATAAAATAAAAACAAATAAGAGAGAGAAATCTCAGTAGTAGCACGGAGTCTGGAATTGTGCCCGGTATATGGCAATAGGCCCCTACTACATGGGACTCATAACATAAATAGTGAAAAGTTGGTGTTACCTCTGTGTGCACCTCTGCCTACCCCTTCGGGGATAGAAGGAGTGATGTTATGTTATGTTAAAAACAAATATTGGGACAGCTGATACTAAATAAAATCTTATAAATTAACAATAGACCTAAACAATTGGGTACTTTTCTTAATAAAAAAATAATTATTTCGACTGTTCAATACAATAACATATTAAAAAATAACCACACTTCCATTATTTGATTTTATGACCAACTTATGTTTAGTATTTTTCCAACAAATTTTTAACGCTAAAAAAATCGTGACGTCCCAATACACAATCTCGTACAAGTAAAATTCATAGAAAACTGTCGTTTTTGACAGTTCGAAAAAAAGTATTGAATTTGACTAGTTGACGAGTACACAATTAATCAATATGTGTACTAGACGTCTTTTGTTCAATTAAGTGGCTTCGCATCAGAATTTTCTCCTGTATCGTGGGTGCATCTGCTCGTTGGCCGAGTGGTCGTAAGTGCGACTGCCGGGCAAGGGGTCTCGGGTTCCATTCCCGGGTCGGGCAAAGTGTTACTGGGTTTTTAAATATTCTCAGTAGTAGCACGGAGTCTGGAATTGTGCCCGGTATATGGCAATAGGCTCACCCCCTATTACATAGGACTCATAACATAAATAGCGAAAAGTGGGTGTTATATTGTACAGTGTTATAATGTGCACCTCTGCCTACCCCTTCGGGGATAAAAGGCGTGATGTTATGATCGTGGGTGCATCTTCGATGCGAACTTTTGTGTTTGTATAGGCACCACCCACGACACAGGAGAAAATTCTAGTGTGAGGCAAAATTAAAAAAAAAATTGTGAATCACAAAAAGTATTGTTACGGAATGTAATACGGGATAAGTAGCAGAAACCGGTTTTTCTTCTTTTGGTTTAGGCAATGCGGTAACCGTGTAGTTTCTAGCATTCAATAGGCTTCAAGCATAAAAAACTGGATTATACTGGATTATAGCAAAACCTCTTATTGGCCAAAAGACCCTAACTTAATAAATATATCCTTAAGGTCCTGTCCTTAAGGTTATTTTCTTTTTCGATCTCTTTATAGCAAAACCTCTTATGCCCGTATGGCCCCGTATGGCCATAAGAGGTTTTGCTATAATCCCCACACTTGGCAGACGAGTTAGAAATCAGTTTAAAAGGTTCAAGTTCATCAGAGAGCACTGCTACCCGGTCTGTGAAATGTGTAGTCCCTTAATCGGTTCCTGCGACAACCGCAATAAGAATTGGGTAGTTTCCTGGGTCAAAAATAAATTATTTTGGTTTTTCAATCCAATTAAATATTGAAAAATAGTTACACTTTCATTAATTGATTTGCCGATATACTTAATTTTCGATTTATTCTTGCATTTCCTTCAGATATAAGTGTGTTATTTGACGCGAAAATATGATGACGTCATAAGTTAGTATTTCGTACAAAATTCATAGAACAGTATCGTAATTGACGTTTCGATAAAAGTATTGAATTTGACTAGTTGTGAACTACCGCATTAGGGGATAAAAAATAATAATAAGAAAACGTTCTAAAAAGCCGGGAATGCACTCGTAACTCATCTGGTGTTTCAGGTGTCCATAGGCGATGCTGATTGCTTACCATCAGGTGACCCGTCTGCTCGTTTGCCCACCTATGCCATAAAAAAGCAATATTCTTTAATTCACAAACCTGCAAAGGGTTCCATTCATCTCTGGAGAAGGTGTATGGATCTACTCCGACCGCAGCGCCCTCTGTCAGGTTGCTCACCAACCATTTCTCCATACTCGGGGTTTCAGGTAGCGCTGTATGGAAAAATTATACTTAGTAATGATTTTGACTGATTGACAACGTCTGGAAGACGTCAGGTTTCAAAAAAGGAGAAGTTGAGGGGGAAAATCATCCAATTACCGTTTTGACTTGATAGAGTAACAAACAGACAAACTTTCGCTGTTATAATATTAATAGAATTAGCAAGAAGTAAGATAAATGAACTCACACTGCTTCATCAGCGTCCACAGAGACATGTCAGCCTCCTGCTCGAACTGCGTATAGTATCTGCCATCTGTCCATAACAGAGCAGCCGATGGCGTCACCACTGCCGTACCAGCGGAGCCGGTGAAGCCAGAGATCCATTCTCGACGAGCGTCTACCGGAGCTATGTATTCTGACTGGAGAAGACCGTAAAAGAATAGACGTTAGACTGAAAGACCGTGAAAAGACCAGAGGATTTTAGGTGTAGAATAGTGTTAGATATATGACTCATGCCACATTATGTCACTAGCCAAAAAAGAATATAAGACATTACCCAAATCGGGCTAATTTGTAATCATGTTAATTAATTACAAGTTCTGTAAGGCTCTAGACTCTAGAATCACATTCTACAGACGAATCACATTTCAACTGCAATTCCACAGCAAATTGCAGTTCCGATGCAGTCCGATTGCAATTGGGATGATGCCAGGGTATGAAAATTTAAAATCTAATTAGTCCGTAAGTTAGGTAATGAAAAAATATTAGACACGTATTTTTTTATTTTGTCGTATACAAAACAATACTTAGATAAAACTATTCAAAGTTTAGGAGTGGGGGCTAAAACGTCATTTCTACGTATAACATGTACATAGAAGTGACGTCACGTGACATTACAAATGAATATATCGTCGAAAGTATTCTTTTCTGTAAGAAAATAAAAAATACGTGTCTAATGATTTAAAATAATCTACCAGACGGGCATTACATTAATAAAAAGTAGGCATCTACCCTATTCTATTGCAGTCATGACCAAACGATTGCAAACCAAACGAGCAGTCCGATTGCAGTTCTATTGCAGTCGTGTCCACTGCGTTCAAACTGCAACCGAATTGCAGTTTGCAGCTGGATTGCAGTAGCGGTTAGCTGGCATAGAAGCTAACGTTATTAATTATAGGTAGGCGTGAATTCCACAGCAAAACTGTGGACTGTCGGAGGTATTTCTGAACCGATATGACCTTCAAACCTTCAAGAAAAGAGCGTTTTACTTTTTAAAAGGACGGCAATGCACCCGTGGCTCCTCTGGTGTTGCGGGAGTCCACGGCGCTGATCGCTTACCGTCAGGTGATCTGTCTGCTCGTTTGCCTCCTATTCCATAAAAAAGGCGTGCTCCATCGTCGGCTAAATCGTCTCGGGTGAGATGGCCAAAAGTCATTCTATTTTTTTTAAATCTTTGTTATTATTTTTAAATAAGAGGGTTTTTTCAATAGAGAAAATGTCACCCCCATGATTGGATACAGATAGAATTAACAATAAATTATACTAACATTAATCTAGCCTACCCTCAACCTTAAACCTATAATAATAATTTTGAGAAGCTTCTTAGCCCCTTCCGATAATGGATAAGACAGAATACTGTTATAAAAACCAACATCAATAATGTTGTCCCCAAACGGTAACCGTCTTTGTGGCCACGTCCGACTACATTCATGCAATATGTGATGTGATAGACATCTTCTATCACTCCACATAGACTACAATTAGGTGAATCAACTTTACGCATAAGAAATCCAAAATTATTCAAGGGAATGTGGCCAGATCGAAGCCTCAGAGCCGTCTCAAGAAAGAGGGTAAGGCATACAAAGTAGGCAAGTTCCCATTCCTAGCCAATTCAAGAGCGAAAACTAATGGTGAACCCGACGGTTTCGTTAAAGTTTTGTCACATTCTATTAAATATAATACCGTAGTCTAATTTATAGCCGTCCAGAGAACAAAGCCACGTGTAAAAATTAGTATACATTATAATACTTACATTGTGAGCATCGCAAGTAGGGATTATGTACGCCGCGAGCGGTCGAGGCTGACTCGACATGATCGCTCGAAGCGCGGACAGCCGTTGGACGGACATTTTCTGGGGTTCTGGGAATAAAAAAATCATAACTGTAATGTACCGAACGTACAGCACCATCTAGTATAATTTATCCAAAACAACCACAAATACAAACGACTATTATGAAGATCGAGCAAACATACAAACCATTCGCCTTTATAACCAGAGATGCCTTCGAACATCGTCTTTTAAAATTTTGTTGTATTCGCATATATCTATACATTATTCTGAATAATGTACACACGTATTCCGCAGAATTTGTTTGGTTTACATAATTTCATATTTATTTTCTTTTCCTTATTGAGGGGCGGTGCCGCCGTCCGTGAGTCACTGCAGGGTGCCACCTGAAAACCAGCGTTGGGCAGGAACGCTCAACTATATGCTGAGGCGGACGCCATTTTGGCCTGGGCACGCGCACTTTATTATTATTACATCTTGTTTCTTTTTTTATATATTTTTTTTTTAGTTTCGGTTATTATTGTAGTGTATATATTTTGTTATGCTTTAATGATTTTTGTTCATTTCTTTTCTCTTTTAAGTCTATTATTAATGTTTTGTTCTTATATAGGTATCTGTATTTTTATTTTTAATAATCCTTGTCTTTGTGTGCCAATGGCCAAATAAATGCTTCTTCTTTCTTCTTTTTTCAAAATATTATCATCATTCTACTAGCTAGAGGACCAGAATTCGGTAGCCACGCAGCCTATTCTGAACCTAAATACGACTAACTCTGGTTCGATAGCCGAAGACCGCTATGTCTTTTGGAATTAGCCAGCTAGAGGAGGCCTGAAAGGCGATAGCCACGCAGTCCCTTTCATTCCTGCACTTAAGGTTGCAACTATCTTGATTATTTTATAGTAAATTGGTGTAAAGTTGCCAATAAATAAATAATCATCAAGATCATCGGGGCTTTATTTTCATAACAAGCAACCCTACATTTTTTTTTTTTACTTCTCTCTCAAGTCGAAAGTTCGTTTAGGTATATTATTAAATCGTTTTATTTAGCTGCACTCATTTGTTTGGGTCTTTAGTGATTGAAATTTCATCCCCTCCCTGACGACAGATCAATCTGATATTTGGAGCACACTCTTAATCTGGATGACCATACATCTACATATCTATTTTTTTCACAACTCCCTCCAATAATAAACGAATTGGCATGATTGGTAGAATAGAAGTCATTTGAACATACTTAATTATATTATTTTTAAAGTTCTCCGCTAAATATTTTTTTATTTATTTCGTTGCGAGATCCACGAATATTATTCATGTCTCTGGGACGCGCCGGATTTCAGTGTTTGGGTGTTTGCATGGTTGTATCTACTGTAGGTCCCTGATTTTGGTATGTAAGTAAATGGCTTGATTTGTAGAATAGAGGTCAATACATGTACTATATTTTAAGTTCTCCGCTAAATATTTTTAATTGCGGGATCCAAGACAGTTCATTATGTCCTTGGGATACCCTGGATTTCAGTGTCCGGTGTTTACATGGTTGTATCTATTGTAGATCCTGGTGCACAGAAGATACAGCGGTTGTCGGGGATCGTGGCGGAAGTATCCCACAAAAAAGACATAATTACGACAAGCCCATATATTGAGTTTTTAATTCGATAGACCAACGATTTTTTTTAGTTTTCTCATTCTCCACGGACCCATGCCCGTGCCTTTGTCATTCATTTACCTTTTTTTTTCTTTTTTTTACACAATGTACTTTAAGTCTACTATCTACATATACACATATTTTATTGCATTTCCATTAACCCTACTGGATCAGCCCACCCGCGCGTTGAGGAAACCGACCTGCTCCAGCAGAAGGCACTCGAAGCATGACGTGTAGGCCAATCGGTCTGATCAACCATTTCGTAGGGAACGGAGCGACCTAGCCCACAGCGCCACTGACGATTAAATGTCCTTTGCCCAAAGACGGATTAAATCTAGATAGCGCTCCAGACAAGCACCTCATAGGCGTCCTTAATTTATTTGGCGACACCGTCACCCTACGGGTAGTTACGCGTGTCTCGCAGCGTCACACCTGGCGCCCTAGGCATTTGCCTAGTTTGCATTGGTTGGGGATATACGGCTCTGCATTTGGCTATATACATTTGAGTGCCTTTAAAAATACATACTTACCTGCTTCTTCCTCTGCAGAGAAAACACAAGCGAAATGATGGTCCGGGTTAACCTGTACACCATAGAACTTGCTGTTTGCTGGGTGTAAGGTAACACTGAGGGAAGGATTTCCTAAGGGAACGGGGAAAAAGAGGATTTTCAGGTTAGGAAGTGAGAAACAAAGGTCAGGTCAGGTGACAGATGAAAATTCTTCATCATTAGGTTACTCGGCGTGAATGTTAGACGAGGTTACCGCATCAGTTGTCGCGTATGTTGCTACGATTATGAGCATGCCGTGGCCCAAAAATTAGCGGAGTACTCAACCTCGTTCAACAGTTACGTGAGTAACCTAATCTTCGTTATTTGCTGCTGTTGCTAAACAAAGGCCTCATTCTTAACCTCTCGCGTGTTTCTCTTTTTTCATTTAACAACTTACATTGTGTCTGAAATTCAATATAGGTACAAAAAAAAGAGACAAGCAAATTCTTATAACGAAAACATAATCAGTAATCAGAATCACATACCCAGCTGGAGCCGATAAAAGTGACCGTTCGGTTCAATCGCCTACTTGTACCTACTTTTATGGTGCGTCCATATCTGGCAGGTCGCAAGCGGTTCACTAGCCATTTGCGGAGCATTCGGCAGATGTGGACGCACCCTTCGACAACATCATCATCAGCCTGCATCCTGCAACTGCCTCCAATTGAGCAGAGGCCTCTTCACACGTCGGTTTTAAGATAAACATGGTTTTAAACAGTCAATAATTAAAAAACCTTACCTTTATTTAATTTATTGTGTTTGCAATCCCCATGAGCGGCGGAGCGCGACCAAACCACTGCGTTACTGCAATAAAACAACAATTATTTATCAGTTTTATATTTACCGTTTGATTAAAACAATGGAGAGATAAAATGTATAGTTTGTAGAGCCATTTGCTGCTGTAATGTACATTGCTATGTACATTGTCATAACATAATCGACATAGTATAAAACAAAATCGCTTCGCTATCTGCCTTTATATATGCTTCATCATCAACAGCCTATAAATGCCCACTGCTGAGGAAAGCTTTTTTTTTAAAAGGGACAATCCCGCCACGCCCTCCCAAAACCGCTGCAACTCCTGTAAGCCAGGATCTACAGTAGATACAACCATGAAATCACCGGAACACTGAAGTCCGGCGCGTCCCAGGGACATGAATAACTGTCTTAGTTCCCGCAACAAAGTGAATCAGAAGATATTATAAGGGGAGAAGAAAAAAACGATAGTTTCCACTTCCCTCGGTGAATTACTGCAGAAGAACGAATGAATTAAAATCTAAGTGGGTCCTATGTGTAAGCTGTTATACTTGCTTCCAATAATAGGTAAGGCAAAAGCGTCTAAACGCACGGAAATTTGTTCTACATTTCACAAGGTCCGCCATCGAACATTGGCACCATGGTGAATCAACAAGTTTAACTCGTCGAGTACCTGTTTTATAGACACAATTAAAGAACAATAGGTCGCGGTCACCGGTGACCGCTCATTTACTGTCTACTGTCTACTGTCATTTACACAGTGTACATGTGTACACTGTGTAAATGACAGTGTCGATGTGTAGCGCCGCAAACTAATTAGCGGTGCTTTGTGTACATTATCAAAACATCACGCCACGTAATTCTCTAAGAGATATTTCTCGTCGGGTGGCACGTGCGATGATAATAGTGCCTACAATTTTACGTCTAGTGTTTCATGTGCGTATTTCCATGAAATTTTATTAATCTAAAAAATGTTTTCTTTATGTATTTTTTTATTTACTTTATATATCGAAAGTATTCCTTATGGCAAGTTGTTTTGCAGACGAAAATTAAATATTTTTTTCCACGCGCGCCTCAAAGAGCCATCTGACCACCACGGAAGGAGCCCAATAGGGCTGAAACCGATACGGAGTCGCGGAGAACCTAACGGGTTACCGGGGCTCCGGCTCGACGTGCAGGAGAAGGAACGGGGTGGTTTTTAGTCGGTAAGAGCCTGACACTCCCTCCCGCCTCACCCAGGCGGGAGCAGTCATTCGATGACTTAGCCCCCTTAAAAAAAAGGGTTTCATGTGCGTATTTCCATTAAATTCTTTTTTAAACTAAAAAAAATTTTTTTATATATATATTTTTGTATTTACTTTATACATCAAAAGTACCTACTCCTTATGGCAAGTTGTTTTGCAGCCGGGACGAAAATAAAATAAGTTTTTTTTATATTTGTTGGGTCGACGTTTGACCACTATCCCGCCTGGTGGTAAGCGATGATGCGGTGTAGAGGGAGCATTGGACCTCCGACACGCTCACCCACGAGGTGAATCACAATGCAATTGTTTCGCGTCCGTGTACACTGAACAGTGAGGTTGTGGTATCACACGTGGGTGCGACCAAATGTAGTCTTATCTTGGCAGTTTGTTTATAAACATTGCATATTGAGCTTGGTACAAGAATTGTAACAGTCGCTTTAACAATAACTCTTGCAACGAAACAGAAATAAATTTATTTAGAAAGTGGTGTACGGTACTAGGTACACCTTTTTATCTATTTACCCGCATTATACTTGTTTATTACCATTACGATATAAATTCAGCTGAAACAAAATATTTCAATGAATATGTAGATATGTTTTTATAATAACTAGGCTGCGCGACATCGCCGCGACCGCGCACGTTGCTCATTAGGAAGAACCCCTCTGTGGTTCAAAACTAGTAGAGCTTTTCTCAGTATATTCACGTGAGTAACCCGCGATTTTTAGTTACTTAATTGAATATGTAGATAGGTATACAATATACCTATGTTGTATATTTTCGTTATTGTCAAGATATGGTTTGTATAAAAGAAAAAAATAAATCCGTATTAAGATACCCGTACCCGCGCTTCCCATATTTCCCTTTCCC